ACAGTACTGACTAATCTGCTTGAAAGAGTACATCATCGGTTATGTCTGTTTTTTAAATTATATATATTATGGGATCCCCTAACTCTAATGCGGACAGCTGGCCTTCCACCCCGGAGGAGGGATTCCCTTTTTGTGTGTGAGAGCATATGCACACAGAGAAATCAGCACAGATCATGCTGCACTCAGTGGAGTAGGGAAAACCAGCGATGATTTTCTTTATTTAGCTCTCCTTTGGGAGTTTGTCCCTCTGATCCTGCTTCCATGCTGGGGGCTCATCGGGAGCTCAGACACTGCTCCAACGATACTGCCAAGCGGCTAGTGATCGCTTTGCCTCAGAAGAGGCTGGGCTTCCTGTCTTGTCTTCCCAACAGGGGCCCTCTCTTCGTCTTTCAGGGAAGGACTGTGAGGTTCAAGAAAGGCTGTGCCCCAGGCTCTATCCCTTTCTATTGTATGGGGTCCATATGGGGCAGATAGAGCTGTGTTTTCCCTGGAGGTTGCAGGCCGGGATATGAACAGGGATTGTGTTGGGAGGGGCTTGTTATAGAGGGGGAAGCAGGAGGAGAGAGCAGGCCCCAAAGGCCCCTTCCTGCACTGTCTGCTGTTGACGGCATCTGGGCCGTGTCCAGACAGGAGAGCCAGATCTTTCCTTGTGCCTTTCTCGGCCTACCTCGCTCCCCGAAGCCTGCAGGGGTGCCAGTCAAAGGGGAAGTGGAGCTCGGGTTGCCACCGGTCCAGGTTTTCCTAGGATCATCCCTTTTTTAAAGTAGTTCTCCCGGATGAAACAGTTCAGATGTCCTGGGTTTTTGTACCTCAGAGGTGACAACCCTATGCGGCGTTGAGGGGACAATCCCCCCAAAAGGCACAGGCAGCTCTGGGACACAGCTAGGAGTTAGACGCACACATTATAGCGCTGAATTATGAGTCTGGAATTGGATAAAGTGGAGAGAACTTCCCTGCAGCAGGGAGGGCCCAGGGAACAGCTTGACGCTGCGGAGGCAGATAAAACTGGAGGGAACTTCAGGGGGGCAGGGCATTTCCTGCTGCCAGTGACTTACAGTGCTGGCTCTAACCTGAAATACCCAGATCTGTGGGTCTTAGCACGATGGAGAAAGTGGCTGTAAAGAGATCACTTTCGACACTGCTGTTTGCTTGGTGACGCTGGCAGCCGAAAGTGCAAGAGGTTACCCTCATCAGCAGCTTGCCAGATGCCAAAAGCTTACGACAGGCTCAGCCAAAGAGGGACAATATTTATCACCTTGAATCAGTTTATTAAAGCCAGTGCTGGCATGCAAGGAAACCAGAAAATACAAAGTGGCTGAGCCGAGGCTGCCCTGTTAGCCTTTTTTCAGGCAGAAAAGCAGCTTGATTTCAATGAAAGAAAAATAACCTTGGGCCAAATTCCCACAGGTGTCCCCCCACTGCAGACGAAGCACCCGCTTATGCTGAGTCTGAATTCGGCCTGTTGCTTTCTGAGATTTGGCAAGCGTAGCACTATCTGTTAGTATCCGAACGTGGGCGGGGGAGTAGTGGGAGCAGTCTGAAAGGCTTGTAAACCCAGATCTAATCACTCCCACCCACACGGATTAACACATGACAGAAAAGTATAAAAGATTTCTTTGCAAATGCTACAGTCACTCGCCCAGGCGGGCGCTACAGTCCCAGGAGGGCTATGTGTGGATAGTCTCCATCACCACTTAACTGGAAGAAAGAAATGGGGGCGCAGGACTTCATTGCATTGAGGGGAGCTCTCGCTCTTCTCTGGATTCTTCTAAACCAAAGGATACGGCTGAAGAGGGCAATTTTTATTTTTGCTTCTAAGTGCCCCAGGTTGCACTACGTGGCAAGGCTTTTCATTAAAAAATGTGAAGTGTAGAGGACCCCCTGGCCTCACTTGCAAGGCTGTGCTCCCATCCCCCATCTACCCGCTCTGCAAATTATCCCCTGCAAATACCAGCCTCTGACAACACACAGCATTGCCATATGCCCCCACTTAAACCCCAGGCACTCTGCAGGCATTAAGTCAGGACAGAACAAGTCCGACAACATGTTAAGTTTTCCTAGCAATCTAGTTCTAACAGGGGCAGCAGCAGCCTCCTCCGGGGGGGGGGGGGGGGGGGGGAGGAAATGCACCGTGGGTACTTTTCTATTGGGTCACAAGTTGGACCAAGCAGAGAAAAGCTTTGCTAATGTCACGGGAGACCTCGACGGCCTGTTCCCGCAGCCTCATCTCGACTCCTTCTCCGACAGGCTAATAAATATATACCTCTGTCTTAGATTTAGTCCAGACCCTCTGTTTGACATCTGGCTACAAGATGGTGGCACTGAAATGTGCAATAATGATATAGGGATTAAAAAAAAAAAAGGGTGGAGAGACCAGGGAAAACCAAAATTAAAATAAGTGGAAGGGCGGAAATTCTTTTGCGAAAGCCTGAAGGCTTCTACAAAGCATGCCTGCATGAGCCGTGCCTCCAGCTTACCCGATGTCAACCTTATGTCTGAGGGGACAGAAGACCTTACCAAGCATTCCAGAGGCGTCTCTCAGGGAACCAAAGTCTTCAGAATGTATCCAGCCAAACAAGAAACTGGTTCATAAAGGCGCAAAACATTCCTTCTCTTAGCACCAGAGGGAGGGATCTTGTCCAACTCGAATTCTAAAGCGAAGCGCCAATGTTTTCCTTGTTATGTTCTGTTTGCTGCATACCTCTCCCCCACTGTGACTGCTATTTGACCTGCTGTCCGCTCAGAGACCCTGAGGGGAGGGGTGTGTGTGTGTGTGTGTGTGTGTGTGTGTGCGGGGAGGGGAAGGGTGAGTCTCGGGTGGTATTTGACTTGTTCATAGGCCTTAGAAAGAAACAGACAGCACTGAATGTGCAGGGAAGGAGCAGGTCCCTCGACTGGCAGGGATGGGGGGGTTCGGCATAGTCTGTGGGAATGCCTCTTTTACCGCCTCTTTGAATGGGCAGGTTACTAATGGAACCGCAAAACGAAGTTTTAATGTAAGGGTAGACACCCAGCAGGGAAGCCCCCTTCCACCAATTCTGTTTGTTCTTATAGCTGCAAGGCTGGCATGCCTGATCATGGATAATGAGAAAATACACAGGATTAGACGGGGAGGGGAGGAGGAGGGCAGCATTCCCCCTCGCCCCAAATGGGTCTCAATACAGATGGTACCTTTGTATTCCTGGCAGATCCCTGGAAGGGCTCTCCCATGAACTAACTAGAGCTCTTGACAAATTCCCCTGCTTCTCAGAAAATAAATAAACTTCCAAGAGCCCACTAGGGGAGCAACCTCTCCACAGAGCCGCAGCTATCTAGGGAATCAATACAAACCCCCACGGTAGGAAGCCGTTTCAAAGCAGCTGCCATAATCAAGCTTGTAGACCCTGACCTCAGGAGGAAAGCAGAGTTACAGGTAAATCTCCAATAGCTAGGGAAGTTGGATACCATCATGGCAATAATGATCCCCAAGACCCTGAGCCTGCAAAGGGATTTACTCTGGTGGAATCCTATTTACTTCTCTGGGACTCTATGTAGGCAAAAAAGTCTGCATGGATCGATTTCTTTGCAGAATCGGCCTCTCAAGCCCAATCAACACTAAATTTAAAGTTAAGTCGACCCAGTTACGTCCCGCAGGAGTGTGAAAAATCCACAGTGTCGCAGTGTAGTTCAGTCAATGTAACCCCCATTGTAGATAGTGCTAGATCGATGGAAGAATTCTAGCTCCTGCCTCTTGGAGAGGTGGATTATCTATCCCAACAGGAGAACCCTTCCTGTCAACATAGGCAGTGTCTACATTGAAGCGCTACAGTGGTGCAGCTGTGCCACTGTAGAATTCAAGTGTAGACAAGCCCTTAGGTCAGTGGGGCTTCCCGCAGCTCCCATTGGCCGGGAACAGTGAACCGCAGCCACTGGGAGCTGCGGTGGGCTGTGCCTGCAGATGGTCAACGTGAGCAAAATGTCTCGCGGTCTGCCATCAGATTAACCTGATGGGCCGCATGCGGCCGACGGACTGCCCACCACTGCCGAAGGTTGTGCAATTGGCAAAATCCATTCATTGATGAATCTACACAGATGTACACCAGCCACGGAAGACCCTCAGATTTTAAGAGTATCACCAAATCTAGTTCTTTGCTCTCCATGCTACACAATAGAACAACGAGAGCATCCAAATGCAAGGATCCACTTCCAGCTTTTCCAACGAAACATTGATCTCCTCTAGAAACAGATGTTTTATTATGTGGATTCTTCCTCTTGTCTCTACATTTTTGCAAGTAACCTCTCAGTCAGTAAGCAAATAACACTTTGCTCCCACCATTTTGAGGACTGCAAAGCACTTGACAAACATTAAGGAACAGAGCCTCACAACAGTGAGATCAGGAAATATTGGTATCCCTGCTTTGCTGATCGAGAAGCTGAAGCACAGAGAGTGAAGTGGCTTGCCCCGGGGTCACACACAAAATCTGAGGCAGAGTTGCAAACAGAAGGCAGGAATCCTAACTCACACTCCTGTGCTTTAGCCACAAGACTGTCCTTAAAGCACTTTTCTTGAGGCGCTCGCATATCACACCTGCGGCCAATCTCTGCTGCAGTTAAGATTAATTCCTCCCTCGGTTGTGTTCGCTTATGTTTAATACATGGTAATACACCCAGAGCTGCACATTGGATCGGTCATGGGGATGTGTTGCTGCACTACACTGGTTGTTAAAGAAACTGTATTGTACAAAAAAAAAACCCCCAAGAATAATAAAAAATGAACGTCTAGTTGGGAATTCTACCTCACGGCTTCCTCCCTTTTTCGGCTCATTTAGGGCTTGAGCCAGCTGTCACATAAGACATTGGAAAGGTCCCCATTGATTTCAATGGGTGTTAGATCAGGCCCTTCCCACCTTCACGTTTCATGTCCATCCGTTACATCCCTTCTGCTTTTTGGAACATATTCCATTTACTTCTCCGTGCAGGTTGACCAATGGGATTTCTCGGCGTAAGGACTACTTGGGTGAAGGAAGGCCCTAAGGTTAGTTTGTTTCCAAGCCAACACTGGCTAAATGAGTGGAAATCTAGGGATTATTGCTAAAAGGAAATTATATTTCACCCTAAATGAACAAAAATAGTCAGAAAGACCATTACTTTCTGTACATGATTTCAGCGGCAAGTGGGACCTTCCATTATTCACTGTTCTTTCTGAGCCTCCCACTTCAGCCATAAAGACTTGCTATGGCTAGCGTTGTCCTTCCACATACAGGCTTCTTGAGTGGCCCCTGAGCGGACCAGCTATTTGCTCCTTTCCAGAGATGCCGAAGGAATTAGAGGAACAATCGGCTTCAATGGTTGTAAAGTACAGCCACCCAATGCAGTGAGGGGGGAAAAAGTGGGATCCCAATAAACACCCTTAGCTAGTAACCCTGCAAAGCCATTTTTAAAATTCTCATTCAATAAGCTGATCTGAAATCAACACTAGTTGCTCTTCCTGTTAGCAGAGTGGGGAGGGATGTGCTGCGCCCTGGTTGGAGCAGCCTAAGGGTACAATTAAATCTTAAAACTATGAGCAGATTTAACAGTCAGACTCTAAAGAATTAAACATTGTACAAACATCTCAACATTTTTGTTGTTCCTCCCAAAAGTCCAGTCTAGCCATGCGGTCCTGTGCAAAGGTCATGTTGCTATGGATATGACCTGCAAGAAATTTGTTGCCTGAGAGCAGCACAAGTCACGCGAGCAAGGCAGGCTAAAAGCCAAGACCGTTGATTCACAATCTTGTCAGGATTTTGCTGCTTGTGTTGGCTTCACTTTAGAATGAGTCTAAGTACGGCCAGGTCTATGTTCGCCCTTTAAACGTGTTCATACAGGTGTAGCTTCCAGAAAACTTGTGGATTTCTTCAAGTGCTGACCGAGGGAGAATGCTGCAGAGGAAGCAAAGGGAAAGGAAATAAACACACTGTGCAACCTTTTCATCTGTTCTAATGAGAAGACGTGCAAACACACACACACACAAAAGATGGGGTGACTACTGTGGCATGAGGCAGTAATTTTGCAGTCAGAAATACCAAGGGTCCAGTCTTGCAAGTTGCTATGTTTCCAACAACTTCGGTGGGGTCTGAAGTTGATCCGAACCTGGCATGACTGGCCCTAAGGGAGAAAGTGCTACAGAGTCTCCTCCTACTAAGAGAGAGCTTACTAAACAGGACCTGGTAGAACAATGTGACCTGTAAGAAGGCATCATTCCTAGCTTCTGTTTCCCAGAAGCTGGGAATGGGCATCAGAGGATGGATCACTTGATTACCTGTTCTGTTCATTCCCTCTGGTGCACCTGGCATTGGCCAGTGTCAGAAGACAAGATACTGGTCTAGATGGACCCTGGTCCTACCCAGTACGGCCATTCTTATGTTCTTATCTACGTCTCTTAAATTGCAAGATTCTGTTCAATGTTATAAATCTTGAGAATTTATATTGAGAATCAATCTATATATTTATCTTGAATACCCATCTATCTGTTTAGGTATTTACCTTTTTCATCACATGGTCCTGGTATGAATGAAGTGCTATTTTCCTGTTGTCTATTGCGATGACAAGCTAAGTGAATAATTCATAACAAATAATATATTTGACAGATGCCCCTTCTTTTTCTGGTTGTAATGTGTCCATGAACTGATCAAGATTTTCTCAGATTTATTTGGTATTCAAAGTTATTTAACATATGTTGAGAATTTTGTTCACTTTTGTTTCCTATCTGAAATCTGGGATGTGTCATTTAGTTGTGATTGGTGACATAAGTCACATGGCATTGTTTCAGTTCTGTGATTGGATGAGCTCTATTTTTAGATGGTTTCTGGTCTCAATGTTCACAGAAAATAAATTTAAAATGTGCTGTCCTCAATTATTTCAGTGAGCGAGACTAGGATTCCCTTTCTGCACACAGTTTCAAGTTCCCTTAAAAAAGTGATGACATAAAAATAATTTTGGTTTTCATTTTTATGTTCTCATAGCTTTACAGAAAGAGTGGTCTCTAAATAGAAATGAGAAGGTGTATATTTTATATGTTTTGTATAGTTCCTGGAGCCTGGAGAGGGGCTTACTAAATAAAAATCAAATCGATAAATGGGTTAATAAGTAAGACATTTCCTGGAAATGGATTGTCAGTACAGATCTCGGGGATCTGTGAGTTTTGAGGGCTGAAACTGCTTCCTCATTGGGGAGGGGGGGGCGGGCGCATACTCAGATGTAACAAGCTTAAGACAACTCTACAAACGGAACCTTGCAAAGTTTTCTCCCCATCCTTGATGCCCTCTGGCTTCTGTGGGAGGGGACAATCTGGTCCTAGGTAATTATTGTATCGTGCAACTGCCAAACTGAGATTTGGCTTAGCAGACAGAAAACGAGACTGCCTCCCATCCCTGCCCAAAGGGTAAAATGAGTGGGTCAGGCAGCCACACACAAGTGAAATATTTACCTTTTCAAGATGACAAGTACATGCATTGTCCACGGAAGGAGGAGGAAGGCTTGGTTCAGCTGAACAGCTTCTACTGTTCTCCTGGCCACTGTCTCTGGCTTCAGTGGGGGGAAAAGATTGGGGAACCTGAGTGAAGAAATTAAGAAGTAAACTCATTACCTAATTAGGGTGCAGTACAATCCCAGTCCTTGGGCTCTCTGAGCTGCTGCCGGCATTCAACTACCCCACAAAACTGTCAGGGAGGAGCAGAGAGAGGATGAGACCCTGATCCTCTCACTCGCTACCCAAACCAGCAAAGCTGGGCTGGCACCAAGGCTGAGGGGAGCATATGCTGCATCCTATAAGAGGGCATAACAGGGGCCACTCCCTCCTCTTCCTCTCGCCTGCCTTTTTCTTGGATTAAATTACTGGCAGTGAAAGACAAAAAACAGATGCTCCCCACGCCTCTTAATACCAGGAACATGGATTTCCAGCTGCCAACGGCGATGTCACATTGCACCATTCACCAAGGCGGAGGGTGCACAAACCGTGTTAGCGGTTCATATCAAGAGATACAGATCCACCACTGGCAAAGGGTTAATTTGGCTAGTCATTAGCCCCTTGAATATTGTTAACGTTCACAGGCATGGGTCCAGTGCTCGCCTCACCGCTGTCAGTGGAACTTTTTGCCATTCATTTCAGTGGGGGAGGATTGAGCCCCTCAATAGGAATAAAGAAGGAACTAGGAACTTGTCGTGTGGATTCCCAATTTGTAGGACTATTCGCCCCTTTGAACAACCTCAGACATCAGTTTGGTTGCTCTGCTCTGATGTCCACAGCTGGCTTCTAATTTTCTCTCTAGAAACGACTGCCTGGAAGACACCCTCCCAGAGGAAAGGCAAGTTGAAGTGTACACGTTGGGGGTGTACCAGCAAATCAGAAGAACCAGCCTGATGGTTTCAGGAGGCACAGAGTGACCCCTCTGATCACAGCCAGATGAAACATCAAATTCTCTTTAAAAAAGATCCAGGTGTTAACGAACATGTTCAGTTGATTAATTTCAGTGAGATGTTTTACCCAGTCTCTCTTGGACTGACCTTATTCTCATGCCCTGAAACATCTCTGTGCTGGTGTGGAACGGCAGGACTGTTGTAGCGTTCACTCCAGGACAGTCCAGCAAGCCCAAGGTCAGGCTCTCCATAAAGGCAAAGGAAGAGGCTTTGGAGGTGCAGTAGTCAATGGCACCAGGGATGGCTGACAAGGCCAAGACAGAGTTCAAGCAAACAATGTGCCCATTCTGCAGCTCCAGCATGCGTGGCAGGAAGGCCTTGGTGGTCTGTAAAGGAACAGAGAGAGAGAGAAAAAACTTCATTAAGCAGAGACACAACAGAAATGGTACCGGTAGTCACTAAGAAAACAAGCCTAGTGATGCAGGGCCCAATTGTGCTTTCAGTTGTGCAGGGGTATGCGGAGTAACTCCATTCAAACTTCATGATTCATGCCCAGCTTCATAGTGAAGGGAGCCTCGCTGCTCTGTGAGGGGTTCCAAAAAGCCTCCGTTAACCTGATTTCATGTGAACCAAACCAAACCTGCGCTATCACAAGACTAAGCCGCGCGCAAAATAAAAGGCAATGAGGATCATGCCCTGGTCTGCTCAGATGCACATTATTTAGGATAAAGACTTCAACATGGAGAGGAACGCCACAAATATATTATTTTTTAACTGATCTAATTAGAAACGGAATGAGTTTAATGCAAGCTCTCTTCCATGAACAATGCAGCCATGCATCTGGGTCATGTTTCTCTCATGTTCCAGATGTGCATCAAACCGAGAAACTCTCCTTTGTGCCCCTGGGATTTCTCAAAGGAAATCAGAGTTTTTCTTGTAAGTCACAGGGTGGGTTTAAAAGAGCATCAGAGGCTTTATAATTACTGGAAGCCTTTAATATGATATTTTAGCAGAAGTAACTGAAATCAATTTGAGGGAATCTGTCAAACTCAATTTTTTCCTCAGACTTCTCTCCTCTGGCCTTTGCCTTTCACATTGTTTTTCCTGGCTCGTTTTCATGTCAGGCTGATCTTACCAAGCATTGTTTGGAAAAGTCTAGCAGCAGCCAAGTGTTTACTGGCTGTAATTTGTCACTCTCATTTCCAAGTCTGAATAAGCTGGATACAGGAGCTTATCTTACCCAGAACTGTCCCAGGGTATTTATGTGTTGTGATTTGAGTAGAGCATCGTCATCGCTGTCCATCAAGCTCTTACCATGAACGACAGCAGCATTGTTCACTAGGATGGTGATATCACCCACCTGCAAAAAGAAAAAGGGGGGCAGCTGATTGGTTACAGTGAACAACTCTTTTCACAAATACAGCCGTCACTTTGGTCCTTCTACTGAAGGGTGAATCCATGGCCTCTTCTGAGGCTACGTCTACACTACCCGCCTGAATCGGCGGGTAGAAATCGATCTCTCAGGGATCGATTATCGTGTCTCATCGGGACGTGACAATCGATCCCCGAATCGACGCTTGTACTCCACCAGCGGAGGTAGGAGTAAGCGCCGTTGACGGGGGAGCCGCGGAGGTCGATTTGCTGCCGTCCTCACAGCGGGGTAAGTTGGCTCCGATACGTCGAATTCAGCTACGCTATTCGCATAGCTGAATTTGCGTATCTTAAATCGACCCCCCACCCCTGTAGTGAGGACGTAGCCCGAGTTCCTGCCATAAGGGGCTTTGTAATGGTTACTGCAATGTACCCCCAGGTAGCTTAAAGTAGCTGAAGCACAGATACTTAACGTTTGCACAAATGAGTTCTCCATGGTTCTTCTTTCTAGGCAGTTTCCTAGCATGTTGTTTGGCTACTAATGAAATTCTACACAGTTTTGAAACAAAGACAAAGTGGTGTAAAACATTTATCCCTACAAAGAGATACTCAAAAGGAGAAAGGCAGCTGGACAGACGGCCAGGAGCATGAGAAGGACTAGCGATAGATGTATAGTTAAAAGAAGCTCCCCGAAAATCAACAGCCAACTGCCTTTGTTGGGCTATTATTAGGATTCTCTTATATATTATTATAACTTGCATTTTATAATTCAGTCTCAGTCCTATAATATCACCTAGATCAGGGGTTCTCAAACTGGGGGTTGTGACCCCTCCAGGGGTTGCAAGGTTATTACATGCTGTCAGCCTCCAATCCAAACCCCTCTTCGCCTCCAGCATTTATAATAGTGTTAAATGTAAAAAAAGGTTTTTTTTAATTGATAAAGGGGGTCGCACTCAGAGGCTTGCTGTGTGAAAGGGGTCACCAATGCTAAAGTTTGAGAACCACTGACCTAGATATTTCAAGCAAAGAGAGGCTGGCTCCCGTGATGGGATATTTGCTCTTTCACAGCTATTTAGCTCTGCTCCTTCCATACTCAGCTTCTTGATACAGTGTCAGAATCCAGCATAAAACCTACCAGGACTGATTCTCTGCTGTCTTTACACTTTATGCAAATATTTCCTCTGTACAAAATTGGTGTCAAATGGACACCCGGTGTGAGTGGGTAGAGAATTCTGATTTGGTAGCACTCCATAACTTCTTTGCCTCGATATAAATGTCAAAGGAAGGTCGCATGGCATTGGAGAATCAGGCCCTTTATTCCCTACCATAAAAGCAAGAAACAGACAGGGCCAGGTCTTTGAGATATAGCCAGAGGCAGAATGTATAGCTTCCCTTCTTCCTAAGTTGCCAGAGAATGTTTCCTACTTGCCACTGGTTAGGGGATTTTCTAAGCTCTGCCCATCACTGGATCCACCACACAGACCAACCTTTTCCCGGACAGCTTTGGCTTGCTGATAGACTTCCTCTCGATTTCCCACATCACAAATGAAGTAATGGCACTCTGTTCCCATCATTCTAATCTCCTCTGTGGTTTCCTTAAGGCACTTCTCGGTTCGACCCCACAGGATGATCTGCAGCAAGAAACATTTGCTCAAGTAAAATTGTTCCTGTTTTGAATCTACCGTAATTAAAATCTGTTTCTAACTTGAACAATTCGACATGGATCATTAATTGCATTTGCAGTGCCAGTTCTGTCACATTGTTTCATTTAGGGCCGCGCTGATTTTTAAACGAAAATATTTATGTAACACATGGGTCTAGGGAACTACGGTGGTGGTGGTGGCCAGAGTGAAGTGACTCCATTGTGATGGTGACTGATGCACAACGTCCAGGTGAAGGCTTTTTATTTGCAACCTGTGTAACAGCCGACACTGAAAATCTGAACTCTGGGCCGAATGATTGGCCAGTGGCATAAGGCGATCATTAAATAAGCCAGGCACATGGGCAACTAAAACAAACCAACCATCAAAACAAACACAGTTTCTCTGATCGAATCCTAATTTCGTCATGCAGACGTGGGGTGGAACTCAGGAAAGTGGGTTAGGTTTAACCCTAAAAATATTGACCCTATATATACACACTGTATATTATTGCGTGTTACATTGACACTACACTTTGTTAGAGCTTCTGCTCCCTAGTAAGGTAAAATACAGTTTAGTCAACACATGGAAAGTAACAGTTTAGAAGGCTGACATTATAAGCTATTATTCCAGGTCAGTGGTTTTCAAACTGGGGTGTGTCAGCTCTCGTCAGGGGATACATGAGAAAAATTCTGAAATGGCGGACAATGCATTTTATTTAGTAAGACTTGGCAATCTAATCATAGGTATATTATGACTCTGTCTCAGATGGGGGTACGCAGTAGACTACATTATTTGGAAAGAGGTATCCAGCCTAAAAGGTTTGAAAACCACTATTCTAGGTGAATTCCCAATTCAAGAGAATGAAGGAGGAGAAGCCAAAACTATACTAAAGAGGAGGAAATTAAGCAAGAAGCTCATTATAAAACAATGTTGTGGTTTTCAGTTAAACCCACAAGAGCAAGGACACTCACCGTTTAGTGAGTTCAATAGGCTTTTTGTCTAAGTAAGGCCACAGATTCAAACCCTAAGATTCCTAAACCAACTTTGTCTCAGACTTGCTGTCCTGGGGACATTGCAGCATCTATGACATATGCTCAGAATAATGGGTCAGCGTCTGCAATGGGGCTGTAGGAACTCTAAACACACATCAGCAAGGACATTTTAAGTCAGAAACCGCAATTGTTACCTTGATTTGTTTTGCAATCAATACATGCAAGCTCTCATTCAGCATTTATTTAACAAGCTGAGAACAACACTCGGGATAGAAAGCTTCTTGGAACAAGAATTAGAACAATTCTTAATGGCCACGTGAACAAGAAATTCAGCTTGTCCAGCGCAGAATTGGTTTATAATGAAGACGTAAATGGAGCCATCATGTTCTACATTTTAGTGGCCCACAGAAGTTAGAGATGGAAAGGTCCTCAAGGTTCATCGTCTTCCAGCTAGAACGTACTCGGCAGCACGTTTTCTTGTGACTCACACAGTCTAGTTTTAAAATGTCTTGAGTGAACAATGAAGCTTTCACCACTTCCCGTGATGCATTAAGTCTACGGTCTAATAGATTTAACTGACAGGCAGATTTCCCGCCCCCACCCGAAACACACCATCAATTTCCCCTTTCTGTAAAGCCCTTAAGAAGTATTTCTACTTCCCCAAATACTAAGACTCTTGCCCATGAACCAATCCACCTCCTCTGCTCTCTAACAGTTACAAAAAAACTTTTCAGCCTCCATATCCAGGGCCGTCCCTAGGAGGGTGCAGGGCCCGGGACAAATCAGCCCCTGCCGGCTTGGGGGCCCTGCTCTGCATCGGTGGCTGGGCTGGCGGGATGAATCCGGCCTGGTGCTAGGCTGCCTACTGCTTGCAGTTGCCGGCGCCCACCGCGGGGCTACTGTTGGCCATAGCGCCACGGCAGAGGGGGTAGGGGACTCGCACCGAAACGTGGGCGGCCGAGCTGGGCGTGGGGTGGCTCGGGGCGGCAGCCGGGACCCCGGGCGCAATGGTCTGGCAGCCCGGACCCCAGGGGTGCTGCTGCATCCCGTGCACCCCTAGTTCCCGCACCTATGTCTTCTGGGACCAATGGCACCAGCCTCCGGGGCCCCCCAAAGTGCGGGGCCCGGAGCAGTCGCCCTGATTCGCCCTACCCAAGGGACGCTCTGTCCATATCACCGCAAGCCATCAGAAACGTGTCATTTTACAAAAGTGAAATTACAGGACAGCGTGTATCCCTACAGACTTTAATTGCACTGACCTCCCCATGAGCCAGTAGGCAAAGCAGGAAAAAGAAGAGAAAAATCTGTAGGTTGCTTATGCTCACAAGTACAGTTCTCACCACACAGAAATCCCCACAGAAGATAACATTCTTAATTCAAATTATTATTCAGGATTAAGGGATCAACACAGCTAAAACAACATGGCATAACCAGGATTAAACCATAGAAGAGAGAAGAAATTCTCAGGGCCAAATGCTCCTCCTAAGCGGGTTATTCTGCACTGGCGATTGGAAAATTGGGCTCATAACAGGAAAGGCTTTTAGCTTTAATGATGGTGTCATTTCTGAGCAATTTGCTAATGCTGGTAGAAAAATCTTCTGAAATACAGACCTTACGTGACTGTGTGACTCAAGCTTTCGGACACTGCACTCACTGTGATGATTAGTGTGAACTTATATTGTTTTTTTTAAAAAAGCATTAAAGAAGTAGTACATTTCATCTTTAGAATTTTAGCGATCTTTGACTTTTGGGTAACCGAGTGCTGAAAGACAAAAAAGTCCAGAGACCGAATTACATAACTGCCCGTAACGCAACCCCTAGAGTCAACTGGATGACAGCACAAGACGACAGGGCATTCAGCATTCCCTGACCACAATAAAGCTCTTGAGGAAAGTTTCCTCGCTAGACAAGATGAGCCACTTCATTATCAGCACAGGGCTTGATTCTTATTTACGCTGCTCCGGCAGCACAAAGGACACTTGAAGTGCAGTCGAACATGGCTAAAAATGGAGTGTACCTGGGTTCCAGCCAACTTCCTTAATGGGTTAAATTTAAAACGAATGCTGTTCTTTAAACCACTGGAGTCTTTCTGTAGCTCTATTTAGACACACACCCAGAAACGCATGTACATCTAGAGATGTAAAGGAGCTTCTGAAGAGACCATTGGCTTCACAATCAAACAAAGAACTGGTTCGAAGGCAGGTCAATCACAGAGTCTGCCTGTCTCTCTCTTTCACACCCATTTGTTCCAAAGGCGTAACCAGAAGATGCAAAAATGCAAATCTCTCTAGTTAACCCTATTTCGAAGCGGCTCTGAGAAGAAACATACGGTCTTGCTGTGCTATGCAATGATAAAGCTAAGTGGGCTGACACTCACATTTCACTGGGGTTGTCTCAGGACAACACTCGGGAGGAAAGAAAAGAAGCAGAACTTCAGTACTATGCACGGGGGATAGGATGCATCGAGCTTTTAGAGCAAGCGACATTGGGCCAGAGTCATTTTGCTGGAAACCTTGGCTCACAGAGGAGGTTGTGGGCAAGGAGAAATAGGTCTGCAACTTTAAAATTCTTCAAGAAAATATCCACTACGGCCAAAAGTCTGAACAAATAAATGGCAGAGTGTAGAATACTCTCCTACCCAGCCCAGCAGCCCCCTGCTTAAAAGCCACCCTTTTAAAAGCTAGGCTTGACAAACCTGTGCTTGCAGGTCTCTATGCTTCACCCTATCCCAATAATCCCTACCACCTCCACCAAGCTGGCAAAACTGAAGTTAGCCTGTGTTCAGTGTCAGCTTGTATTCATAGCTTGACTGGGCGTCACTTCCAATGTCTGCGCTGTAGACTCGAAGAGAAAGTCAGAATGTGTGAAATTTCACAAGATTTTAAGTTACTGTTGAAGATGTATTTTTAAAAGGGTGGAGGAGGAGGAACAGTGTGACCACAGAGGGAGTGATGAAATATAAAAGGGATAATATAAAATTCTCTGGGCCTCTCTCACTTATGTATAAAGAGGGAAACAAAATACAACACTGGCGGCTGCTTATGAAGGCATCAGGCAAACATCTATGGAATTATGCATTTACAGTCATGGGGAGGTTAGCCTGTTGTTTGCATGGGGACTGCCAGGTTTATGCCCATCGATGCAACTGGTGAAAAAATACGGTAAATCAACAAACAAGGTGGAGAGAGTGAGCCAGCCAGACAGGGGGAACCAGACAAGGCAAGAAAATGACCTATCCTCCCCAGCTGTCTGGGCTATCACACAACCGATAGATAACAGGAAACAGATTTCTCTCTCCGTTTCCATTCTGCTTGTCAGCATTGCCATCTGCATGAGTCAAATGGGGACAAACTTCCCCATGATGATGTCAGGAAATACATGGTGAAGAACTGCACGAGCAGGGGATGAGCGTGCCATCGCATTGTGGGGCACGTGTGGGAGATGGTAACATTTTGTAAGCCAATAATGGCTAGTTTGGCACCTTAAATAGCTTGTGGCTAGTCTTGCAAGGTGACTATCAAAATGTGGGCTGTTCTGGAGGTATTGGTGGGGGGTGCGGTACCCCTGCCACAGCGTCATCTCCTCCTTCTTTCGTTTTCCCGGTCCATGGCACTGCCCAGACTCAGAGTGTGTTATAGCCTTTGTGGAGGAGAAAAGTAATGGCTACAAGACCAACCTTCCTACTGCCATTTTTGCTGGTTTTAGTGATGGGCAAAACTCAAAAATGCTTCGTTTCTATGTCTAGCCAAAACGTCTTTGGTCTAGAAACCAGGCTGAATACTCTCACAAGACCAGGCTCACATGTGAGGCTTTCAGTCTCTGTCGGACGTTTGGCCAGAAGGCTGAGTTGGCACATCCCTATTTGTCCTGCGTCTCTGCCTCTTTAGAGCTCAAATCCTGACAGGGTTTTGAACAGGGGCTGAGAAGGGACAGAAACCTTTTCCCGAGCCAAAGCACCAGCAGACTTTCAACTGCTGTTGCAACCTGAGGCCTGCA